TTGCCTCATTATTTTTAATAGTGTAACCTAAATATTTCTTATTGATTCATCTCCTATTGCAGACTCGAAACGCAATGGTTCATCGACGTATCTCATAAAATAGCAGCTACATTCCCCCATGAAAATCCACTGACTTATTATTCACCTTTTCGTATAGTTGATGGTTGTAATATCAATGCAAGTGGAAAGTTATATTTCCACTATGGTCATGTCAGAGACTCGATGCACAAAAATGGCACCTTAGTGTCCAGAAACTCTACGGAAGTTGTTGATATTATTTCTGGTAACTAATGAGTAATGTGGGGGTATGAATGAGAAGGAAAAAATTGTTAGGAAATCACCTTATTTGTCATTTATTCCTCAGTCCCTGTCGCTTAGACATTGGAGCTTCTGCGAACGAAACTGGACCCGTGGTGTGAAATACAAGGGTTATGGAATGATACGTTTGATGCACGTCGAAATGATTTGATTAAAAACAAACTTTCGATTGCAAACTACTTACAAAAATTTGCATGTCTCAATGTGGATAAAGCTGTGGATTTGGTAATATTAAAGTAAAAATTTCAATGGTTTTATTATACAATTGTGAAGACTTTTTTTGTAATCGGCAGTATTATGAGCTGTCTTGGTTTATTACACAGTTTGAAGCTGATTTTGTACGATTGTATCTAAACGCTGGGTCCAAGTTGAAGAATCATTGGCTTAAAACAACAGATCATTTGTTGATTCGATTAAACGCTGCTGGAATTGCACATGCAAGTGACCATCTTTTACTTGAGAAAATTCCACACTTACCACCAAGTAAGTATGGAAGATGTTTCGTTCAATTTATTTAAAATCAATCTAGTAGGGAAGTGGCCAAACGATGCAAGTTGAATATAAAATTGTATGGTTATGCTCGAAGTCAGTGTTTCTAGAAATACAGCACACAAAACTTTTTTGTACATCTTTATCCCATGTAAAAAAAGTCTAAGTGGACATAATCATGCGATAAAAAAAAATTGCAGATTCACTGAATAAATGTTAAATTTATTTCTACAGAATGTCACATTGCAATCTTTTTCCATTTGCTGCCTTATTTAATTCCAAGTGATAGGCATACTGGTGGAGGACGAGAAAGAAAGATTGAAAATGCTCTTACTAGTGAACAAAATTCAAAAACAGCTCAGGTTACATCGGTCGCTGAGCCTCCAAGACGTCTCTCAATTCAAGAACGCAGAAGCTCTTTCTTCGTCCATCTTCAAGTGAGATTTTTTATATTTTTAAAAGAAAAAAAAGGCGATTCACATATAAATTCATTAATTTTTTGAAAATAATTCAATTATATTATTTTTTATCCCATCATATTTATATAAATTTTTTTGCGAAGCCTGATTGCACTGAAGTCTGTTATCTAAATGAATCAGAAGATAAAATTTATTCTCAGAATAAATTATATTCAGGCGATAATTTTTTTTATAGCGTTCCCAAAGAATTTGTTTTTACCTATCACATACGTGCATTTCAGTTAACACTAACCTAAGCGGTGGATAAATAATAATGATTAGCTCCTACGAAACATTGCAGATACTCGCGCCATTGGAATAATCCATTGAATATTGAAATTCATTTTTTCTCAGTGAACGATTTCTAGACCTGAGTCTTATGGAGAAATGCTGTTTTTTAAATAATCCAGTTCTTTATCCGTGCCATTAATTTTTTTGTTTCAATATTTAATTGTGCTCTTGAATTTTTCCAGAGTGCAGTGGATTTGGAGGCGATATTGGCAGCAGGAAAAAGCCATACAGCTCAACATTGTCTCCAACACCAGCCAATACCCATTCTTATTGGTCCATTAACAAATGTGGAAGCTTCGTATGTAATTCTAGAAGATGTTCTGTACGAAGAGCCATCAGCCATAGCAGCATTTGATGTAACATTGAAAATATGCTATGCAACACTCTCTGAATATCCGCCAAATTCCCGATCATTGTGACTTTTCTTGCAACAGGCATACTTTGATATTTTTGAGAAGAAAGACAAACTAGGTACAGTATTAAATGCATTAATTGGTGAGATTCGATCCATAATCAAAGAAAATTGTCACGGAGGCACTTCGTAAGAGACTTCTTTTTATTCATGTTAGTTTAAATAGTTTTTCCAGTGATTTTCTATGGCGTTAATACTAACATTTTTCTATTATTAGTCTTATCTCGAGTTTCAAAATGTTTTGTTCCATTTGTGAAAGTCACTTCGGTGATAATTCATTATTATTAAAACATATCAGAGATATGCATAGTGGTAAAGAAGTCTTCCGTTGTCCCGAAAACTGGTGCAACAGAACCTTTTCACTTTTCCGATCGTTCGCACGACACAGACATACATCTCATGTTTTGCAAAAATTTGACAATGATTGCATATCATCTTGTATGGATGAGGTCATATGCTCTAATGATACGCTCGAAAATGATTCCAGCGAAATTAATTACAATATTCACCCCACTGAGGTACCAACCGTATTGATTTCTTCCTTTCATGAAGATACAAAAGGCGATGATGAACAAGAATTTTTGCTTTCTCGAAGTAATACTGCAACCACGCGAATTGAAAGCGACAGTAACTCTAAATTTCAAGACATTGAAGGTAACAAAGATTACAATGATCTCATTCGACAAAATATAATTCAATTCACTGCAAAATTATATGATTCTGTAACGATTTCAAGAATAAGAATCGACGAAAATATTAATGAATTCTCTGATTTAATCAAGGCCATGTTAGATAACGCAAAGAAGCAAATTGGTAGTGAATTCAAATCAACTCCTCAGTTTTCTGAAGTTTCTGCAGTAACTGAAAAAATTGTGCGGGAGTCTACTTCATTACTTGATGAAATGCGAACTGAACATCGTCGTTTTAGTCGGTACGAGAAAATAGAGACGTTTATACCACCGAAAAGTATCGTAATTGGTCAAAGGCGAGAATTTGAACGGCGAATTGATACTATTATCTATAAAACTATACCTGTAAAATTAGAATTTATCCCTATACGGCAAGTCTTTATGAAATTGTTTGAAATGGATGGATTTTTTGATAAAACAACCAACTATTTGAGATATTTAGAGAGTACATCTAATATTATGATACAAAATTTTGCGCAAGGACAATTGTGGAAAAGAAAAAAAGCATTATTCGGTGAAAAAATCGCTTTACCGTTATTTCTCTATTTCGACGATTATGAACCTAAGAATGCTCTAGACTCGCATAGAGGCGTGAACAAGATGGGTGCGGTATACCTAGCCATTGCTTCTTTACCGGAAGAATTTCGTTCAAAAATAGAAAACATATTCGTTTTTATGCTTTTCAATACACTAGACAGAGCTATGATTGGTAATGAGATGATTTTTTCGAAGGCTATTGACGAATTAAAGTTTTTAGAAGACAACGATATAAACATTAAAATTCCTTCTGGAACTGTTCAAATTTATTTCTGTTTGGCTCTCGTCCTTGGCGATAATTTAGGATTGAATTCAATTTTAGGTTTCCAGGAATCGTTTTCCTCGAATCATTTTTGCAGATTCTGCGATATGAATTATGAAGAAATAAATAGCATTTTTCACGAATCAAGTTGTTCTTTAAGAACTGAACAAAATTATGCTACTGAAGTCGAGCTAAATTCACCTAATCTAACCGGAATCAAAGAAGAATGTGTTTTCAATAAATTGTCCAATTATCATGTAATTACTAATCCGATGGTTGATGTTGCCCACGATTTATTGGAAGGTGTACTTAGATACAATTTGGGATTAATTATCAATAACTTCATTTCTCAAAACTTTTTCACTCTCATTCAACTCAATACAATCATCTGCGGATTCCCCTATGATATAAACGAAAAAAACCGACTTGTAAAAATTTCGAAAGGTCATTTGAAAAATTTATGTATTATAATGAATGCCTCCGAATTTCTGTGTTTGTTAACAAATCTACCTCTAATGATCGGATACAAAGTACCACTCAATAATGATGTCTGGGATTTACTTCTCTCACTGAAAAAAATTACAGAAATCTGCACAAGCAATCGAATGACTGAACATACTCCTGAAGAATTAGACATGGAAATCACTGATTATTTGTCTTCACATTCAAAACTATTCCCGGGAAATCTAAAACCCAAACATCACATATGCGTTCATTATTCTCGTGCGATGAAAAATAATGGTCCTTTATGGAATGTATCGGCTAATCGTTATGAGAGTAAGCATCAAGAAGGCAAACAAGCGGCACGTTCAGCGATTAGTTGAAAAAATCCTGTACACACAGTAGCTGTTAGGCACCAATTACGATTAAACTATAAATTCTTTATGAATAATAATTCATATTTTGAATTCAGTGTAGGTCCACAGCCATTTGAAAATGTGTATGATTGCCCGATCTCGACTTTTACGAGTAAATTTTGTATTGAAAATATCAAAACATTAAAATGGATTAAGAGAGGACAATTAATAATTGAAAGAGAGAGTATTATCATGATCCGGGCCCATGATAGACCAATATTTCATGAAGTTTATATGTGCTGTTATGAAACAGAGGATGAGATTTTTCTCATAACGAAAAAACTTAACAAAATTACTTTTGACAAACATTACGATTCATATAGGGTCATTGATTTTCATTGCTGCTACGAATGGAGTAAGTTAGAATTGCATGCTCTTACCTCAGGGTATGCAGAAATAATGTATAAAGTTCTTTCAAATTCTGAAAGTTTTTATGTTCGGAAAAAATTAATTAAAAATTATTATGTTATATTATATTCTATACATTGTACACATTCCCAGAACGAATTAATCAATATGAATAATAAATGAAATGTAATACATGTTTAGCCTTTTCATTTACAATGTCATCCCATTTTCCTCCCCGAATTTTCCAGAAGACACTCCCGGCGAAAAACTGGGGGGGGGGGGGGGGCGTTATATTTTTTGAAATAACAAATTACTTTGTTTTCAAGCTTAGTATGCTACGTATTCTACGATGTTTCTGATTGAAAATAAACTATTTTACAGTATGTTCTTTCATAAAATGTATAATGTAAGATCCTAAATTCTACCAGTTTAAGAAGAAGAAGCCAATATGAACAAAACTGACCGATGATTTCTCTTCTATTTTTTTTAAATCGAAAACAACGCAGTTTTTCCTTCGAAAGGAAACAATTCTTACTTTGAAAATGGAGTAACTTGTACAGGGTTAACATCGCTATTTCTGAACCTAATAACAGTGAATTTTGGATAGCTCTGAAAATTGAAGCTCTCTTGAATTTTACTATGGTCCTGTAGTGCAATACTCCATAGTAATTTTTACTGTGGTAACTTACTATAAACTACTAAAAATTTCTTTCCGTGTATGGGTATTAACAAAATAAATAACGTACTCGTGACATTTTTTATTTTATTGTTTTCTTCAGATATACGAAAATATACCTCGTGAAAATAATTGCATAAGTGACGTAGAAAGTGAATACATCGAGATCTGTGAAACTCAACATTGTTCTTTTCAACAAAACTGCAAATATTTCATCAATTGACTAAATTACGTGGTAAAACTGTGAAAAACCAAAACCGCCTCATACGTACTGGAGATTATATTCCAAAGAGGGCTCGGCCTTTTTCGTAGAGAATGAAATTCTCCTCGAGAAGTGGCTTCCATTTTTGTTCAAAACTTCTCCATTTTTTTAACAAAATTTTAATATTTCCGTCTTTTGCTTTAATTTTTCTTGCGAAGTATGAATTATACAAATTAAAACAAATAAGCATGTAAATAATCTAATTTTCTATCATTCGGCGATTAAACGATTTTATACAAACATACTAATAAAATACACCTATCGAAATAATGTCTCCTAATGAATATTACAATAACTATTGAAACACAATTTCCTACTCATGACAGTATCTAAAATTGAGCAAAGTTAAATTAGGTGACTAGAATTGAAAAATTTCAATTTTTCCATTCTCTGAATATTTCTTCGTATTTCGAGAGCAATTTGGTTACATTCTTTATTTATCAAATTTGTATTATTGAAGAACTATGAAATTTGATTTTTGCTCCTTCATTTAATTATTTACAATTTTTACATATATATACTACTCACTAATTTGGCGAATTGAATACTGAAAAGTTCTCATCAATTAAGTATTGCCATTATCCAACAAATAATGATTTTTGTTCTTTCAATTTTGATTATTAAAAAAATTAAATAAAAAAATTGACACAATATTCAATTATTTCTCACACGTCAATGTAGAATTCCTCACATTACAATTTTTTAGTATTATTTATAGAAAACAATATAGGTAAATAATTGCTTATAGCTCTTTATTAATGCAGTAGTCATGCTGCAATAATAATCGCCTTGAGCTAGTGATAAATAATTTATTAATATTCTAAATATAATATGCATAACAAAGAACTATGCTTTAAGGCCCGCATGTGTTCCTTGTCGGGGTTATCGGATAAATTGAATGTTTTTTATCTTATTCTAAAAAATTATTCCCAGCTTCTGGGTTTCGCCACGTTTACAGGAATAGTATATTATGCAACAAGTGCGTAATGGATATCTTGGCTCGTGGGAAGGTTGTAACACGAGCCGAAGACGAGTTTCACAATCCCACGAGTCAAAAAATCCATGATGCACGTGTTTCGTACACTATTTTATGTCATTGGGCCCGTAATCCGTAATTAGGAGCACGTATGACATAACAGTACATTATGTTATCAGGTGATAAAAGTATTATCCAGCGAAAGCGGGTTCTATTCGAGCCACAGGCGAGGGGATCATAATGACATTCGAAAGATAATACTTTTACTGTCGTGTGGCAGACAAAATTTTTCCCCGGGCCCGACAAATCGCGATTCTAACCTCACTTCGTTCAGTTAAATCACGTCTGTCGGGCCACAGTGACGAAAAATTATTTAACATACAAGAATTACTCGTAATGATAACTATCTTTCAGTTACCATGGAAGTGAATGCACTTAAAAATTCATTTTTACATTTGAGCCAGCAAAAACTGATAAAAAACTGCCTTTGGCAGTGTTCATATGATTGTAAGGAATTGTTTCATTATATTTCCACTACAGAAATAATAATCTAGCTATCATTTTCCGCGGGGAGTTAACGTGCGTATAGATTTAAATGTGTTGAGGTATTGTACGCACACGAAATACTTCGCAACACAATAAGGCTCACTGGATATTCGTATATCAATACTTCCTCACAAGACATTGCTATGGAAAATGACCACTTGACGGTAGTGTGTAATTCTCGGTTTTTTACATTACATATATTTGATAATTCTGTGCTCAGTCTATGCAACGTACAATGAAGTGAAAACTTCCAACGATTTTGGCATAACAAGTTGGAAATTACGTCAACTTGACACCACCCGCCAAGTAATAGAGTGAACAGCCCATTCGCTGGATAGGAAGTTCTTTTAAATACGAGTTTTGAGATCATTTTTTTGAGAAGTACGTTTTGACTTGGACCATATATTCAAAAATTTGCAAGATTACGATTTCTCGTACTGAGAGAAATAAACTTTAGTGAAAGTATCTAGTTCTTTTCCGAGAGTCGAAATTTTTTTTGAACAACACACGTATAATTATATCAAGAAATTCATAACTTACAAATTGACAATGACAGCATATGCGGCCGCTCATAGAGCTACGTGAGCAGATTCTTCATGAAATTCTGAAAATATTGGGCCCAAATCGAACTCTGTAGGACTCAAATTTGTAAACTTAAGAAACAATATTATGAAAAAATTGGAGTCAATGTTAGACAACGGATTAGTTGGAGTTCTACTTAAATTTTAATGAGACCGAAATTTGAACTAACCTTGGGTATCATGATGATAATGCATGCAAGTCAAGTGGTTACTTTTCTTTATTCAGAATAAGACCCTTTTTCAATAGAGACCGTGGGGAGTACTTTTTGCAATAACAAAAGTGATGGCTACCTTCATGAGGGACCTGCTGCTCAAATTAAGTTTTAAGAATTTTTAACTGAATTATTAAATTATTCATAGGGAAAACGATTGGAAGTGACACAATATCCAGGAAGGACAGATATATCAAGTGAAACGGAACCATTTATGAATTTATTCCTATCGTGAACGGGAAGTGAGTAGAGAAAACGAATTTTTTCACTATAGAAATTTCAGATAACAGTCATTACTCTGAATTCATATCCCATTCTCAAATGAAATCATTCTCATATATAATATTGCCTTCCATTAATAATAAACCTCTCTAATAGGAATATCATAAGGAGTTTGCATCGCTCCTCAATAAGAGTCTTTGAGATCATGAGATTTAACTGGTCTGGTTTATTTGAAACACTGACGAAATTATAATTCCAGTTCAAATCAGGAAAGTGCCGATATCTTGGGATCTAGAAATGCGCATAAGAAACCTTTCCATATGGACGGCCACTCCATTTTACTCTAGGACAAGAAAAACTTGAGTCATGGAATTAAGGATGTTCTACCCTGAATTTCATTGTAATGAAAAAACTTTGCAAAAAAATTCGGACATAATTTCCAACTCATTCTAACACTCCATGCGAAATTTGAGTCCAATTCACAATGTAGTTTTTTTTAATCAATTTTTGAAATATTATTTTTTTTTGCAGTAGAATATCGTGGAATTTACCAAAAAGACATATTGGATATAACTACTTCAAGCCTTTGTAAATTTTTTGTATGATCTTCAAATTATTCTGAACAATTATGCGAAATTTCAAAATGATTTGATGCGAATAATTTATTATTGTGAGTTGTAAACAACTAAATTTTCAAATAATTTGATAGGAGTGCGTTGTCATTGAGTGAAGAAATCATGAAAAAATTAAGCGATTTATCTCAAATTTTTTACGTGAAATAATTATTGATTAACCAATATATTAATATATTAATTGTATGGAATTTCATTAAATTCTACAGCACAGTTCTTTGTTAAAAAAATTTAAACTACTGACAAATCCTTTTGAGAGACAATTACTGCGCGCGCAGTGTGAATACGTGATCACACCGTGTAGCAAGCAAGGAGAGGGATTGGACGCGGTAGATTCCAATACCGGAGTAGGTTATATTGGCCATATTGGCGAATGAAGATGAAATATATTAAAAATTCAACTTGGTAAGTTTTTTATTACAAAATTGTTATTCATGAATAGTGATATAAAATTAACAATAGAATTGAATAAAAAAAGTACGTTAGAAATAGCATGTTTTTGGACGAATACAGTCAATTATTTTTATTTTGAAATTGTAATGCGTAATGAAAAAATGCTAAAATGCCGCCAACTCCACTGACATTAAAAATTACTTGTAATGGATCTATTCTAATTCCGGCCTTTGCCAATTTTTTGCAAACACCCCGAAATTTTTTTCAAAGGACTTTAGCGAGGATAAATTCTGTCTTTTACTTGTGTCACAAGTCCAGTTATGTATTTTCTGCACATAATCGATACAAGGTTCTATTAGAATATCGTGAGTTATTTTCAATTCTCTTAATATCTTCGAGAACAATTTGCAATCATAGATCACATTATATTCTCCTACTGCTACCAGATTCAGAGAATTTTCCAGATCATCCAGAGTACATTCGTATTTCTTTTTCTTATCTGTGATTTCCTTTATAAGTGGTACTGTATCCACAAATCCGTGAATTAGTCTAGACAATTTATTGTCTAAATGATTTTTGGTAATAGCTCAGGCCTCAAAACTTAAGTTATGAGCTGAGAGAATAACTTTTCTTTTCAAATGTCGCAATTCACTCCATAAAATTTTGCAAAGCTACATGCATCGGGAATGTTAGTACTAATTTCCCATGTAACAGAAGTAGTCCATTCGAATTGATGAGACCGTTGATAGCTCTAGTTCCTAGAAAAATGTCCTGTTTGGGATTTATATAGATGTCAAAGGTCCTTTTCGCATATTTAGCGGCAATTTGCGGAATATCACAGTCACCACGGAAACTGGCGGTCTCTACATCGAAAATGATAATTGGAAAATTGTGACCATCCGCATTACCCCTTTTAGCTTCTTCTTCAGGTTCAGTTATTGCTGATGGAGTCAACCGCCCACAACCACTTGGATATATATTTAGTTTTCATTGTTTTCGCGCCGATGCCGTGGAAATTTAGGCAGTTTTCTGTTGTCCAGTCTGTTGGCTTTATATTGCTGAGTGTTAAAGTTAAAATTTGATGTTTGACGTATTATTAATCGATCTGACTTGGCCGTATGGCGTTGATGATGCTTTCCTGGTGATCATTGAATTTTCTCATTGATATATTCGGTATATGTTTCTCCAAAGTGTTGTTGGGCAACTGAGCAAGCAAACCGAAAATCATGTTGCATAATCTATGCTGCATCTCCTATGATTACCCCAAACCCACAGCTCTTCCCCTAAATTCTCATATAAATTTTGCTCATTATTTATACTTGGCTGATTCAAATTTTGAAGTCACTTCTCATGTGAATATTCGTTTTCAGGTAACGCTGGATCACTGCTTTTATTGGTTTCCTTCAATATTTCTGTTGACCCCCCCCCCCCCCCCTGCCCGATTTTATTTGCAGGTGATTGCACTTCTGTCTCTTGTAAGTTGTGAACTTCACCTTCAGCTAAATTTCCAGCATTTGTATTCTCATTGAGTTTTCTCTTCACACCTCCCTTTGTTGGCTCAAACGTGAATTTTGCTTTTTTGGGATCATCACTTTCCTTTCCACCGAAACATTTTGTGAAATTTGCACTTCAATGAAATAAAAATCAAGTAACTACGCACCAACGGAAAAATTTTGGGTTTTGTTTACTGAGCTCAAATACAGTTTAGAATGCACAGGTTAAAGTGCAATGGCATTAACTTGAGAATTCGAAAAAATGGACCGTGACGACGTTGTCGCGTTTCCATCGCCTTTAAGGAATATTTACTTTTGCTGAAAAAAAAATACAAAAAAATATTCGAGGGGCTTCAAAAATTATAAGACTCTATTATAATTATTCAAATAATGATTCGACACGATTATATATCGTAAATACCAAATTTATATTTTTTTCTTTGAATTTAATAATTTTTTACTTTCAATTTGGATACCTTTTGAAGAATAACAGGCTTCTCGGTTCGTCAAAGTACATTCATAGTAGAACATCCTTACGCAAAAATACGCTTGTCAACAAACTTTTCTTTCCTCAGTGTAGCGTACATTTTCGAACTATCCGAAGGAGGCATTTTACTGGAGTGAAATTGATATGCTCGCCAAAAGGGAATTGGCCAAATACACGAAAGCCAAAGCCGCACGGACAAAATAATGATAAAAAAAAAATAGGAACGTGAAAAAAATAGGAAGTGATGGATATAAACATAGTATTTATAAATTAGGAATTCCATGTGAATTTAACATACTCAGAACTCGGAGCTGCATCGACCATGCTGTGGATTGTTTTCTGTGCAAGGAAGTAAAACAATTCTCTAAAATTTTCCAATTTTTTTGCATCATCGCGTTTCGGTAACTTCCGTAAAGATCAACCAATTTTTATTTTTACTTTTTTTCAACATACGCGCCTTCAGAAACACTTTTCATAGAAAATGGATAATGTTCTCCCTCATCTATTAACTTCTTGCTAAAAAACTCTTTTTCGTGTGTAGACGAGTCAGTACACGGAGGAAGGAATCAATAGATGAGCGTAGAAAAATATATTGACCATTTCTTTCATAAAGACCGTGTCCACTGACGCATATCTTAACAAAACAAACATAAAATTAGTTGATTTATATGGAAGTTATTGGCACTTTAAGACCAAAGTTTTAAGAGAAATGGCGGTACGGATTCCACCACTGGAGAAAAGTTGACAAGTTATCTTAAATTAAAAAATACACAGGAGAAAAAAAATAATTTCTATAAAGTGAATATATTTTAGAGCAGTAATTATCTAACATATCTGGGTGAAACGCCCCGCTTAATTTGTTTGTCTCATACAAATCGCGTGTGTCATGCAACAATGTCGTGCCGATAGTTGTCTCGGATTCGCCTCAGATTTAGCCGAAAAATGTCGTATAAACACTTCCCGAGGGAATACAATATTTTCTTGTCTCAAACGATTTCGGTTCATTTGGAACTAACTTTTGGAGACGAGTAAAAAATTTTTTTATGGGCGATTTTACAAAATTTCAAAATGTATGCAAAAGGTCGTAAAAAAAATCCTCAAAGAATAATACAGGTTCATGTTTGGGAAAATATTGGGTTCTGAAGTCTGAAGTTCCGAAATTTTTTTTCCAATTTTATCAACAATTTTTTCAATGCTATTGAAAAATTGCATTGAAGAGTTACACCAAGATTTTCTTGAAGGAACCATTGAATTCACTTTTTTTATTGTTTATTTTACACTGAAAGCAACTGAAAGGTGTACTCAGATAATTCGAAATCTTCTGGAATCTAAAGATGCATGTGACATCCTGAAAAATACTTGTTTGTCTGTTTATACCATTCGTTATTTCTTTATACCACTTGTTTGGCAAAATTAAAGTTGAATCCGAAAAAGTATATGTCTGACCTAACCGACCCGAAAATAATGTTTGTTCCGAATATAGTTGAATACAGCTGAAACCCATAATTTGAGGACGCCTGCGACGACATAGGCGTTTTATTCATTAAATGTCAAACAATAAAAATAGAAGAAATAAGTATTCACACGATCATCCTCAAGAGCATATTGAAAGATGGAAAAACTTATTCCAATTTTTATTTTATTATTTGATGAGTATTGAATGTTGGTTAAAACCTTTCAAGAAGTAACCTCCATCTATAAATTGGTAGGTAAAAAATATTCAAATTTCGTTAAGGATATTACGGCGTGCTCACAGAGAATCGAAAAAGTAGAGAAAATTCTAATTTTTTTTTTCAGTTAGCGAGCAGAAATTAAACACAGTAAATTGTCGGAACAATCTCATTCAACTCGTATTCTTAAGAGAATAACGAAAAAAAACATTTTTTATGAAAACAGGCAGCTTCATGAAACTTTGCACGCACATCAAGTTTTGAGAGATGAGTTTATTGGGAAAAAACAGCGATCCGAGCACAGTTTAAAAGAAATTATAAAAAATATGCTAAAAAATGGAAAAACTGCGCATGCAGCAGTGAAGCGCGACAACGCGGTGGATACAAATGCACCTCATGACAGAATTGCTAAATTTTTTAATAATGAGTGATCTTAAAAAATTACAAAAAACAAATATTTATTTACTTTCAAAATCTCAAATAATGAGTTTACACAGATGAATTCTCCCTTAGAGAAACATTTTTATCTTCTTTCATTTAAAATTAAGACAATTAAATACTGAATGTATACATGGGTGCGTGGAGGGGACTTTGGATGGATTAATCATATTTTTCTTCTCATTTCAAGTTCGAATTCAATATCTAATACTCTTTTTGCTAAATCGAGCTCGTTTATCAATGAATTCTTGCGTATATATGAGCACAGCAGCAGTACTCGCTGGAGTTGATCACTTCTGTCAACTTCTGTCACGAAAACTTCTATTTTATTCGACGTTACCACGTTAATCGTTCATTTTTTTATTTTTTTTTTTTTTGTAATGAGAGCGAAGTGCAACTATAATGCAATACATATAACGGATAGGGGAAAAATTCAAAAAATCATTGAAAAATTTAGTCGCGCATCGAAGCCACCCTATCTGATGGAATTAACTTATCTAAAAGTGACAATTTTTTTGTTCAGCAATTGGTTTTCTGCAGGGAACAATAGGTTTCTCTGCGTCTCACCTACTACATGACCCTCATGCCGTAACATCCTTAAACGCTTGCCAATTTGCTAACAACTTTCGGAGAAAAGAGTGCTATACAATTTTGAACGTTCACTTCTGTAGGAAAGTAGTAAAATTCGATAGTGTATTTGTTTAGAAATTATTTGATAATTAGTTGTGACACGATGCAAAGTCAGGCTCCTTCTCTTGTAGTTGAGGGATTTTCATACGAGGAATTCGTCACTATTTTGTAAGCTCATTAAACATTAAAATTAATGTAAAAACAAATATTCTTGTGAATTAAAGACTCCGATTAAGGTATTTCGAGCGAGTTGGAAGGATATTGAAAAAGGCTGCTAATTTTCCGAAAATGTTGACATACATTCTGTAATTTATTGGAATGCAGTGTGTAAATTTTAAGGCTGCTGAAGAGCATCGTTTTTTTTTAAAGTCATTTTTACACTGAAAACTTAAAAAGTAGTCAGTCAACCCGTATTCTTATAGAGATCAATAACAAAAGCCTGATAAGCCAAATAAAGACCGCAGCCAAGAGGAAGAAACTTTGCAAACGCATTGAATAATGAACAATTTGTCAGAGCTTTGTTTAAGAGAAATTATCAAAGAACTGAAAAAAATGGATTTCAGTGTGCGCAGCTCGAACATACGGTGACGTCACAACTAGAGTTCGCGTAGGGGGTTTCACGGTCAATTTAAATGTCTCTGATAAAAAATGTTTCCGACTGTTAAAACCATTCTGCTGTTTAATCAATCTTGTTGAATACTGCAGAAACGTTAGTCGTTTACACTTCCAATAATAATTTTTTTCTTTCATTTCACTTAAGGAGATTAAAGTGGATGGGTTTGAATTTTAGTTTGTCACTGACAAATAATTTAACTAGAGCGAACTACTAGCTTTTTATTCATTTAATTTATTCTCTAAAAGGTATTAAAAAAAATATTTACTGCGCGTAATGCACGAAAATGAAATTGATTAATTAAAAAAACAAAAGTTTTTATTTAAACAGTGCTTGAATATGGTCGCAATATTATGTTGAAGAACGATTTTTTCTTTGATCCGGGATTGGGTTTCTGCAGGAATACTACAGATTCCTCCCCGCCTTTTTGTTTTCTTATATTCCAGTCCTTTCTGCCCTGTTCTAGGCTAATTGGCCCTATCTCCCCCTATGCATGCGGCTGTGGATCATACACTGTACCGCATTCACTTTCCTATAGGACATAGGAGTGACATGGGAACCCCCGCTCATGGGTGCCTGTTGAAAAATTCGATTTGACGGGGGATCGAACTCACAACTTTCAGAATACTAGGCTCGCACCTAGCCACTGAGCTACCGACGTCGGTTCCTCCCCGCCTTACCTCCTAGACTTCCTTCTCGCCCGAAATACCTAAGTGATTACCATGTTGAATATATGCCATTTTTTTGTACATAAACATTTGATTGAGGAGAAAGACTAATATAATCGGAGCTTCTCCTTTATTTACAATGTAAATAAACCTGTATTAAATTCTCATTGTAAATATGAATAAGCATACTTGTACTCTCATTGTAAGTATGGAGTACAGATAAGCTGATAATTTAAAGTGATGCATGTTGAACTCACATACAATAAGTCCATTATAGATGAATGGACGTAAATATAATTCATACGTACACTGGCCGTCAAAGAAAAAAGTAAAAATTTGATTTTGGTTTAACAAAAAAAAAGGGTATAAGAAATATACTATGCTTCTTCAATTAAAAAATATCTTCTGAAACATCACATCAAAGTGAAATGACCATGTTGCATCCATAACTTCGGTATCTTATTTTGCTACTTTCCTCAAATTGTTAGAGAAGTTCATTTAATTTCTTTCTTTATTTAATTTTATCATAAATGCCGCTATATCTTTCATAGGCCATAATTACCAACTGCCATCGCTAACCGTCAACCGATGCAAAGCTTTAATATGATCTTCTCCCAAATTAGGTGGGCCAAATAAAAACTCCGGTCGACTATCAGGATCATTAAGCAATTGTACCATATTCTCGTAACTAAGTACAAGAGAGTGTATGGAGCTATGTGTGAGATTAACTTTCCCAGCCACTGTACCTGTTATATGAACATCATCGATCCAAAAATATGGCTCTCTTTGTGCCTCACGATACAGTAAAAATACAGAATCAGGGGAATAAAGTACTGCCCAACCAGCACAATAAGCTGGATAATGTCTACCAGGATATTCCTGGGGTGATACACGCCATTTGGAACGCCACGAACGTTTTACTGCTGCCGTCGACAGTGGATCACAAAGAATGAGACGTCTTGCGCCCCATGGGGATAGGCCGCGTTTTAAAAAATCGACCATTGCTGGAATGTTAACGAATACATCGTCATCCAACTTCAATATGTACTTGGCACCTAAAATAAAAAGAAAAACGGTGTTAATTAAATGAATCGCCGTGGTGACCAAAAATTGAATTATATCATCATGACATGGAGAGAAAATACAGGAAAAAGTAAGGCACTAGTAGGCTGCAAAATCATTTGAGTACTTTTTATCTCAAATCCTGGAAAAAATTAGAAGCGAGGAGTAAATTGTATCATTTAACAGGGCGAAAAATTTCGAGGTTGATGACAGATTAAACCTGAATCAATTACGGCCGCGAACTGGGAAAGTTAGGAATCAGAATTAGTACGCTACTAATTTGGATTATTTAGAGGGTTCCCCAGGGTACAACGAACTCCACTCTTGTCAACGAGATAAATGTTTATTGTCTCTTTGGTAGAACGTTATAAAAAGAACTTAAGAATACTTGAGAATGTTTTAATGCTACACGTGTGGTGTTAGTCAGTCAAAGGTAATAATGTTTGTTTTCGTGGGCGACGACGACGACCAGTCGTTTCGCCTTGAGGCCGATCGAGGCGCGGCCCCGTGGACGGGGTGGGGACTGCCGGAGGCAGTGCCGCCACACTAAATGGCGCGCGCCACCACCTGACGGGCAAGCCCCCCAACCACGAGCAACAGGTTCAACAGCGAAACCGTGCATTAATTAGCACGCGTGCCAAAAAGCACACATGGGCAAAGTCGGAACCTTGGGGGGCCGGGCCATAATACCCTATTGCAGGACTGGGCAACCTCTGCTCTGACAGCAAGTCACGCGCTCGACCTCTATTAGTACATAACAAAGGGTAAACGAGAACCCATTGTATTGGATAAAGACCCTTATGGCCGGGGTCCTAAAGGTTCTTAAGGTCCTAAAGGTCCGAAAAGAAAAAGAGGAGAAATGTCGCCGAAGAAAAGGAAAAACGGGAAAATGAGACAAAACTGGACAATTTGAAATTTTCCTTCCGATCACGTTTTTATTTATTTTGACATGACAAATTCCACAATGCCATGCTCTAGTGGTTCCGCAATTATTTATTCAAGAAATAGACTTGATTGAAGTAAAAATGTTAATCAAAGAAAATAAAAAAATACAATGATAAAAAAAATATATTTATTTTTTATATCAGGAAATAACATCAGCCGATAGAAAATGCAGACGCTGGTATTTTTAATTTCATATATTTTTCGGAAAGGTCGTTATGGGAGAAATAATATGAAAAGCGAGTTACAAAATGCCAACAATTCAGGAAGTTGAACTTTAGAATGATTTCTGTTTTTTCCCACGAATAATAGTTATTTTATATTGAATTTAATAACTTAACTAAATTGGCAGCTATTACATATTCTATGTAGTTTCAAAGAAGGATTAAAAATAAAACTTTTCCTCATGTGAAACTGATTAAATTGAGAAGAATGAAACTTATCATAGTTCATCTTGTTAAATTTTTCAGGCTATTGAGTGTGCCATATTGCAATCCGACATTTTCAAGCTTAATTATATATACGGAAACCATTAGTGGCGAGGACGTGGCGGTGTGTCGGCCCCAAAGTCACCACATCTTAGCACATTTAAAAATAATAGACACACAGAAAGGTGAATTTATCTAATAATCCTGAACACTTCATTAAGACTCTGAATACACATTTCCTGACCGCCTACCATCGCTGAACGAACACCACGAGTGACTTATCCGCCGCTACCCTTCTGTAGCTATTGAAATATTGAATTAAATATCACTCACTCGTCGCGTCAACAGCGATAGCAGAGGAAAGGGGGGGTTTAAGCTATTTCAGGGACAACAGAGTTTACCTCAGGACTGTTTGTCGATGTATTTCCCTTCTTGTTGTTTCTCTCTTCTTTCGTCTTGTTCTTGACGACTGAGAGGATAAGAATGGTTTCCTTTCAACGAAATTAACGTTTCAATGATTTTTGTTTTTTAAGGGACCTAAACCATACATTTACGCTTAGTTGTACCGAGGGTAATTGTTAAAGCAATAAGGTGCCAATAAGTGATCGCTTCTTAGTTTTCTTAATATTGAATAATTCTTCGATAAAGAAATGAAAAAAATATGAGATGTCCGGTCTTTAAAATTCAATCAGTTAATTTAAAAGGTACATTATGAGTTTTGCCCAGTCTTGACAAGCATTTTTCATTTCTCTGCTGCACTTGAAATAAAGGAATTCAAATTTCTTGTTTTCGTGCTTTTTGAAGGTCAAAAATCTTTTAAATTCAAGTAAGACCGTCACTTGCTCAGCATTTAATTCCTGAAAGGCGTCATTGAATTTTTTAAATACTGCTTAGAGAAAGTTCAAACAATATTAACAAAAATAAAAAAATCTTTTCACCAATGTTTTTAAATTCATTTGCTGCCGAAATATTCAAGTTGGAGTTAAATTAAATTAAACGGAAATTAAACGGAATTGAACATTTATTAAACGGAATTTTATGCGGAAGTTGATATAGAAACAATTAACAATCGGTAGTGTTTCACAATGCAAAATACAGTAAGAAAAACATTCACATTTTTCTTTTAAAAATTTAAATTTTTGTGCGGTGACTGACATAAGGATGCCCCACTCTGACCCACGCATTATGGGCTTGCCCCTGCAACTACCTGCACCATACAATAGCACCCCTTACTTTATAGCAGGGCCCGGCAACCTTCAGGTAGTCGGGAGCCAGTCTATTACAAGGGTCGGGATAATCCTCTCATCCTAATGGGTACCCAATTAGCCAACCATTGTGTGCGAGTAAGTCCCAGTGGTGACGATATTTTTATCAGCCACGTAGAGTGGCGTGCGAGTCGAATTAAATTGGCCGACTCACCAGAATTCGCGCTAAATTTCAGTTTTAAATTTCAAATATAAAATTGAAAAAGTAAAATTTAGGAAAACCTTGGAGAATATATTTCCGAAATGGTAGTCGGCAATTATTATTGTTCTTTCAAATAATAATATTGGAACTCTAAATTTGAAAAATGAAAAGTTACCATTGTCGACTTTGGAATATATTCCTGGAAATTCCATTGTCGATTTTTATAATACATTTTGATTTTTGCTCATTTTGCCACGTCAAAATGAAAAATTAAATTTTTTATTCATAGCATGAGAACATCAATTTTCTCATTATTTCTCCGGTGAATCGTACCTTCTAATCTTTAACTTCGATGGAAGGATAGCATATGGGACGATAAATTTGACGAAAATAATTAGAAATTTGAAATACATACATTTGAATATATTTTTAATTAATTGTCTACTCTTGGCCAACATCATGGAATGTCGCTCAATGGAAACCGCGGGAAGGTGGCAGACGTCTTCCATCATGGGTAATGGGAAGGAACAAAAGGTGCAGGAAATAGGAAAAAATTTAATCCTAAAAAATCTTATTACTAATATATTTACAATAGTTTCATAGCAACAATCGTACGAATGCCAGATTCTTGGAGAATCTGCCATTAATCCGATGCTGCTCAGAGTTGTCAAATTATATTAAATCTGTAATTGTCAATATCTAGCGACAAGGTTATAATGAAAAGTGGAAATGATTTAATTTTAATGCGAGTGTTGAATTTGCATAGATTCCACGATTTTTTCTAAATGAGGTTTATAATTACTGAGACTCACAAGCATGGCTTCTCTGAGATTCTCACCTCCTAATGCCGACCTACCGGAGGTTTTAATGCGATTTATATGAGAAAAACCTGATTCGCAAAGATATGGTGTTCCGAACATCACACGCATCCGTTTGTACGATTCTGCGAGAATTGCAAAATGATTACCTTCGATTATTATCTTCTACAAATCATCTGAACTGCACGAAGGTAAATCGAATGTAATAAATATTGGGAAATCGCTGATTTAAATCGTCGTATAATTGCTGCGTCAATTCTGCGAAAGGCTGGCCATTGAATGCTGTATTGCTGGATCCCTTTACTACTAATTCTAACGCAGTAAACATAGACGGAACTAGATTTTTGGAAAAATTAGGTTGGATTCTTTTGATTAATGTTCTCAACGCGGTCACTACCTGCACGTAATCCCACAAGAATTTCCCGTTTCCCTGCATTCGAAGATTAATATTGTTAATGAGTTTAATGAGATCAACAAGATATGCTAGTTGTGTAAGCCACCCGAAATCATCCAGTTCAATATATTCGCGATCAAATTCCTCTTCCATAAAACTGATAATTGCTGGCAAATTTTCATAAAATCGTTCCAGCATGACCCTTTTACTTAACCACCTAACTTCTGTATAGTAAACTAAATTTCGCGCATCTAATTCATTCGCTTTTGGGAACTCTTCATAAAGTCGCTTGGCTAGCGGTTTCGCTAGAATCGAGTTCACAATTTTGACGACTAAATTGTAAACCTTGTCGATAGATATTTTTTTCATGCAGAGAGCTAATCTATGTAACATGCATCGAGTGAGAAAACCTTTCAACTTTCCGGTCATATTTGCAGCCCCGTCCGTTGCAATGCAAACTAATTTATTTAGCGGTACTTTCGCCAGAATGAGTTCATCTTTGAATGCTCTAAAAATCTCTTCTCCCGACGCGTGTTTTTTTTTTGAAAAAGTGTCAGCATTTCTTCTATTACAGTCACATTCTATTACACTTCCACGAAGCTCGCAGAGATCTTCGGGGGGACGAACTCGGGGGACATGAGACAAGGAACAGAAACCTGTAGAGGCACCTACAAGCCGCAGGAATGAGCCTCGGCAGCTAAGATAGTCCACCCGCAAGGGGTAGAGTGGGCCGTCAACACCTTTGAACACCTAAAAGCTCCGGGACCCGATGGAGTCTACCCAATCTTCTTGCAGAGGGGGATCGACATTATTCTGGGACCCTTAACGAAAATACTTAGGGCAAGCATAGCACTAAGGTCTGTACCAAAAGTTTGGGGGAGATCGAGGATTGCCTTCATCCCCAAACCCGGAAAGAACGGGCATATCAAGCCCAGGAACTTCAGACCCATCAGCCTTACCTCCTTCATATTGAAGACACTGGAAAGACTGGTGGATCAATACAT